ATGACATACTATATTATGACTTTTTATGGCATTTTTACGACATACTATACTATACTATGACTTTTTATGTCATTTTTACGACATACTATACTATGACTTTTTGTTGGCATTTTTTACGACATACTATACTATGACTTTTTGTTGGCATTTTTATGACATACTATACTATGACTTTTTATGGCATTTTTTACGACATACTATACTATGACTTTTTATGGCTATACTATACTTAATGTTTCAACAAGATTAGAGACTCAGTAACTGACTATGTCACAGGAATGATTTGTTTTTGAGAGACAGGGCAATCGGAACCTTTTCTATTTTTTGTATAGTTATTACTATTTGTTTGCATTCTGTTTTGTATTCCTTTTTTTTCTCTACCTTTTAATTACATTTTGTAAAAACAATAAAAAAAAGTTTTGGTGCAGGTTAAAAAGGAAAAAAATGGTGCATTTTAAAAGTTACATACACCAGTGTGTCAATGTAAATAAAGTATTTCAAGCCCTACTTCTATTATTATTTAAGTTTCTATTATTATTACTATTATTATAATTATTATTATTATCATTTTAAAATGTTCCTATCTGAACTCATTTCTGTGCTTGTGCTGCTGTAACAACTGAATTTCTCCTCTGGGGATCAATAAAGGTTTGTCTGATCTGAACTTAACTCTAATTGAACATAAATTCAGCAGTTTAATGGTCTGCTGACTGAGACAATACACTGCAAAACATTGTAAATGCTATAAACATTTTTGCACAAGTTTTAACATCTACCGCATTCCAGGCTGACCTCTCCTGACTGTGGGATTTTAAGTAAATACTAAAAGTCCCTGGGAAAGCACTGTTGACAAGTTCAAATTTGTTTAGCTCACCAGTGATTGCATGAATTCCATCTCTTTCACTTGTCTGAAAATAACTTTTAACGTGCAAATTTACTCACTATCTTTGTGGTTTGGAGCAAACTGCAATCACAATGCAACTGAGCTGAGTAAAGGTTAAACGGTGAGAAAGGCCTTAAGGAATTCCCTTCAGCTAGATAAACACAAATATTCTGAAACAATCAGCTGAGCAGGAGCTCCATCTGCCTCGTCTGAACACCGCATCATGAAGAAAAAATGTATTATACAGAATATGAAATCGGGCCAGGTCCCTCTCTGCGTTCAGCTTAGAGCCGTCAAAATAAAACAGCGCTGGCCTACTCTCCCAGCTTTACACATTCCAGATATTTGCTGTATGAAACATCTGAAACATTAAAGGCAAGTGTCTGTAACTAACTCCAGCTCTAATACGTTGGCACTCAGAGGAATGTCTGTAATTCTAATAGAGTTAGGCTGCTCCATCCTGCAATCACATGACAGTGGGTGCCCTCGTGCTGAAAATACAAAGCACTCACAGACTAAGCAGCACCACCCGCCCTCTTGCAAAAAACAAAAACATGTGACCTTCCAAAATTAACACAACTTTTTCCAGCTTGCAACAAAGCAAACTGAACAATCAGGTTTTTATGCACTGTGACTTATGTGCATACATTTAAAAATACTTTGCATCACACAAGGACACACTCAAACATGCACACATGAGGAACAATAGACCTATTAACAAATGTGTATTACAGGAAGTGGCAACTGCGGTGTATCCAGTGTGGTCAAACCCAAACAGAGACAGGGTTGTTCCACTCACCTTCCTTTTAATGTCAGTGAACTGGGAGAACATAAGTGACCAGTAGAAAGCCAGTTCTGTCACATAGTAGTGGTAAAGACCCAGAGTCATGGCCTGAAGAGACAGAAAGGCGAGACGGGGTTAGTTCAAGTAAGAATGTTATTCATTTTGAAAGTGTTTTAAAAAATATATCCTGGATATCACACCGTATTAAAGGTACAGGTCACCCAAAAATTTAATAATACATATTTTTCCTCTCACCTGTAGTGTTCTTTCATCAGTCTAGATTGTTTTGCTGTGAGTTGCTGAGTGTTGGAGATATCAGCCATAGAGATGTCTGTCTTGAATATAAGAGATGGCGAGATGTGATGTGAAATAATTAAACAAGTTAAAGTGAGTATTTTGTCCTCTTTTACTTGCTGTAACTAGATAGCACTCGGCTTGTGGTGTTTAAAGCACAAAAAATATATATTCGAAAAACTCAACAGCAATGTCTCTTTCCCGAAATCATGACCCTGAGTACTCAAGATAATCCACAGACCTTGTTGTGAGCAGTTTCACGTAACTATTTTCTATCAAACTTAACCTGCCGGCTGCATCACCGCCCAAAAGGAAGAGTGCATCTACTGTTAGCTCACCTAGCACCACTGAGCTAGCTAATGTTAAAGCTCAGCTGAGAAGGACGCCTTTCATGTCTACATGTCGTGATGTTTGAGAAAGAGACTCTTGTCTATGATTAAATGCACACTTCTGTCTGCATGGTGATTCGGTTGGCGGGTGTAGTACGGTAGAAAGAAAACAGTTCCTACATGAAACTGCTCACAAAAAGATCTGTGGATTATCTTGAGTAACCAGGTTTTTAATTTCTGGAAGGACACACCGGTGTTGAGTTTCTGAAACGTTTTTTGGGGGGCTTTGAGCACCACAAGCCGAGAGCCATCTAGTTCCATTATATTTGAGAGAAGGCAGACATCTCTATGGATGATATCTCCAGCACTCTGCAACTCACACCGAAACAATCTAGACTAATATATATATATAGCACTACAGGTAAGAGGAAAAATATGTATTTTTGATTTGGGGGTGAACTTTCCCTTTAAGAGTGAAAGAATGACTACCACTGTGCTCATCACGACACACTTCCTGGCCCAGTGACTCACAATGATGTCCTAAGTTGCTTAATCAATAAAGCATGAGAAGACGTGCTTTCCAGGAAATTGTCTCATGCCCGACATTGTGTCCTACAATGGGTTCAATCTACATTATGATTTTATTGAGAAAAAGGGCATTTGAGCATGGGCAATAGTGTGTGAGGGTTTATATCTCATCATGAATGAGCATCAGCCCAGATGAAGCCTCTTAATTGTACACTGAAATACACTTGAATTTTACAGAATTGAATTTTGGGAATTTTAAAGATTTAAAAAACATAGAAAATTCAATTACAGTCACTGAATACCACATTTAACCACAGCAAAACTATGGCCCCATTTCTACCAAGCAGTACGGTACAGTTCAGTTAGGAACGCTTATAAAAAATAACTTAATTCACTGGGCCGACTGCAGGCGACTTTTAAGGTGGAACATTAACTTGTAATGTTACTCAATGCACGTGTTGATGCTGTGAATCAATCAACACACCTTAAATATTCCATATGACAACTTTGACCTTTACTTTAGTTTTTATATGACATACACTTTTAGTAATGAGTGGACCTTCAAGTGTTAATATATATCAATTTCGGCCAGATTATGTCAACGTCATATATTCTAATATATTCTAAAAGTGTGGCAGAGCATCATTCCTGTGGGCTACGGCAACACTAATCCCCTGAGCTTGCCTTAGAAGGACTAAATGCACAAACCCGCTATTTTTAAATATCCCATGGAGAGAGACTCTCACTGCAGCTTGTTTTAATTGGCTCTGAAAATGTCAGCATGCAGCCTCATTCTGTGGACAATAAACGAGGTGCAGACTTCCCTCTGTGTCACAGATAATGAGGAAATACAGTGACTGCTGGACAGAGCAGTTCATGACAACAACTCTGCCCACATTTAAGGGTATTGTTTGCGGTGGAAACGCTAGTGTCTATGTACCATGTCTGAAGGGTTACTTTTGGTTCCAAAGGTACCATACCAAAAGTGTTTGGCGGAAGCACGGCTTATATCAAAACACTTGTTCAAAAACTGTCACACAATTTGTGCAGTATAATCTAAGTCTCATTTATCCACTCGTATGCTCAGTACTCCTCAAACAGACAGCCCTGTGTGATGGGGAACTGAACTAAAAGCAGAACTTACCTATACCCTCTTCAAAGCCAGACTCCACTGACAAAAACAGCAATTAAACCTTGCTGAAGATGACAGCCTCTGGTCTTCCGTTGCCTTGATCTGTAGTTTTTTTGTGTTCTTGTGTGACTTTAGTGAATCCAAACTAACCTTTTAAAACACCAAAGTCACACAATAACACAAATAAACTAACTGATCAAGGCAGATGTAGACCAACAGCTCCTGTGTTCACTGAGGTAAAAATGACTGTCTTTATCAATGGAGTCTGGCTTTAAAGAGAAGTTTCACTTTTCCTTCAGTTCCCTGTCGGAACAGGCTGTTTGGGAAGTACTGAGCATGCGACTGGATAAATGAGATTTGGAGATTTTTTGATACAGTTGTGCTATTAAACGTGGTGAATTCATCAAGAAATGAGGGGTGAGTAACTGATAATAAAACGGTCATTTGGGAGGTGAAGCATTCCTTCAACCTTGTCAGACTGCTTTTCATGGCACATTATCATTTATACAAGTGCAGGGAAAGGGCAGTGAAGTAAACACAAATAGGTACTGACAATGCTTCTGCTGTAAGGCTTTGTGCCATTTACGCTAGTGTAAAGTGGCAGGAGATATAAAAGTCAACACAAGCTAATTTTTTACCAGACTTTTCATCGTTAACTGTACACAACTTCATTCCGTACAAAGTCTTGCAATAAAAGTTCAGTTCATGACACAGTTGGTTATTCTGAGGCTGTAGCTGTTGCGTATTGGTTGCATTATAGATTACAGAGACAGAGATGAGAACTGGATCATACCTGATAGGGATAACCGTACCAGCAATGCCGTGTATCCCACATCCAAGGAGACTACAAAACAAACAAACACTTATTAGTTCGGCAAACAATTCGTCATGCTATTATCTTTGGAAGTGTTCCAGCAAATCAAATATTATCAATTAAAGAACAAATAACGCTAACAGTTTATTTCTGATTGATTGATTGATGTGATTGTGTACTCACCTGCCACAGAAACCGGAATCCATAGATAAATATGCACAAATAAAATGTAAACCTCCACCTGGAAGTAAATGAAGAGGAGTTATGGTCACGAGAAGAGGGCTGGGTTAAGAGAAACAGCACACTGATTCTTATTTTTATTTTGAATCTAAATCCAAGTCCTAATAATAAACAGGAACAAGCCAAAATGTTCTCAGAACATTCTCGGACAGAAACATACACACATACTGTACATACACACACCTTGCAAATTAAAACACAACTATTGTGCGCTCAACCCTGCAGAGAGGTTAAAGGTGAACACAATAGGGATGAACCTACATGCTCTCGCAGAACTTAGTGTGTGTGCTGGGTTTGTCTTGGTTCCTGCGGTGTCTGAACCAACGCTGGACCTTCCGTACCTCCCAGTCCAGCTGCTTAGACAAGCCATCCAGATGGCGAGTGTCTGGATTCTGCACGGAGAGAAAAGGAAAATAAAAAAACAACCCAGCTTGAATTAAAGAGCCCAACAAGAGTGATTAAAAAAAAAAAAAAAGCTGGGTCATTATGTAAACAGTATCCAGTCCGAGCATATTGCAATTTTGAGCTTTAGTCTCTGAGACTCTCAAGATAACACTCTTGATGTCTCATGTGAAATCAGCAAATACAAACACTATCAGAAGAGCGTCTGCTCATAAAGTTTCAGTGAAAACTGCAAGCTGCCACAATAGAAAGTGAGAAATTTGCTGCAAATGTTGCCATCGGGACAGAAATGTGCTCTTGCATAACAGTTTCGTCACGCACATCTGTGCCCAAGTTCAGTTCCCTCAGTGAAGTTCAGTCCACCAAACAGAATCCATGTGATTTTTTTTTCATCATCCTGTTCATGATTTGATTTATTAACAAGCGATGAGTTTAACTGCCTGGATCCATCTCTCACTTCATCACATGTAAAGCCACCCATGACCTTTTAGTTTCAGCTTAACTCTTGCATCGGATTTCATGACAGACTGGTTTTGGTCTTGTAGAGGGTATACTGGAACTCTGGGAAATATTAAGTTTTGTGTTTGGCGTCTGAGATATGGTGTTGAAGGCAGACAGTTTCCAGTTTCTGAATGTGTGTCAAATTGATCTGAGTCAAAGAGGACACAGAAAACAGTAAAGTCAAACATGTAAGACAAGTGTTAAACCAATATTTTTTAAGCGGATACAAATTTCTGACGTTTGCCTCCTACTGTGGTTGATACAAATATTGTCTAATAGCATTTTGGGTTCTTGTAAATCTTGTACAAAATCTATACTAAAAGATATACTAGCCAGGATTTTCCTAAAAAGCAGACTGACTCAAACAGACTCAATCATCACTTATGACCACTAGAAGTGTGTGGTGGTGTATTTTTCTGCAGAGACTCTGCAATCTGCCTGGATGGTCTTCTTATTTTCTATGCTCAGAACGTTTACCCCCGTATATCCCCACAGCGCTCAGGTAAGGTCAGGACTTTATAAAATGTACAACCAGATGCCAGACAGTGAGCAGCAGGCATCCAAGAGAAACAGGGCTAAAAAAAAAAAGCGCAAATATAGCGAGGCAAAACACAAAACAGGTGTGAATCTGGTCTGACTTTTGCTTTCACTTTCAAGCACGAGCTCGTATGCAACAGTAACCAACAACCCTACATGGTATGACTTTAAGCTTTTTAGACATATCTTATATTTATCTTTAGGTAGTGAATAGGGGGTTTCGTGTTGAAAACCATGTGGCTTTTTTTTTTTTAAATAAAATATTTTTTTCTGAACTTTTCCCATTTATTGGACATGGGATAGTGGGCAGACTGGAAAAGGGAGCAAGAGATAGTGGGGTACCACATCATGCAACAAAAGTCCCACAGCTGGAATCAAACCAGAGACATTGCAGTTTCATGGTAGATACTGTAACCATTAGGCTCCCAAGGCGCTCCGAAGACCATATTACTTGTACTATGTTGTTAATTGAACTGTTGTTTTCGTATAGGTTTCATGCGTTAGACTAAACAGCCTTCATGTCAACATCCAAGTCCAATTTACAACAAAGAAACCTGGATTTTTCTAAAAGCTCAAATACATTGGACTTGGCCTTCGATATTTAATAATACTAATAATCTTTATTTGTAAAGCGCTTTTTAAAACAGAGTTACAAAATGCTTTACATGTCAATAATCAAAACAGACAAGACATGAAAACAAATTTCAAAGGAACTGATAAAAACACTTTGTTGTATAAAAACTGAGGAAATAAAAGACCGTCCAAATGAACTTGTAACTCAAGTAAAATCAGGAGAGGCTCTCCGATAAAAGTGTGTTTTAAGAAGGGGCTTAAAAGAGATCACTGACGTGGCTGACCTGATTCCCTCGGGCAGACCGTTCCAGAGCCTTGAGGCCCTGACAGCAAACGCTCTGTCCCCTTTAGTTTTCAGCCGAGCCTCTGGAACAGACAAAAGACTTCTACCAGGGTCCTCAAAGTATGTCCTGGCGTGAACGGCAATAAGAGGTCGGAGATATAGCTGGGATAGGGACCATGAAGAGCCTTAAAAGTCATCAGTAAAATCTTAAAATCTATTCTTGAACATACTGGGAGCCAGTGTCAAGAGGCTAAAACTGGAGTGATGTGATCACAGAGTCAATTAATAGATTTTTGATTGAGAGTTATGATTTTTACCAAAGTGCCTTAAAGGCAAGCAACAATCGATGCCTCACATCAGCCTAAACGTCCGCCATTACATGCAACTAAATCTTATTGTAACAGCTACAGTGTTGTATTGTGGAAGGAGCTTATTTTCAACCTTCACATAACCTGCTTTGTTATCATACATCCATCTTGATGTTGTCAGATGATATCAGCCACTGATACTCAAGCACACGTATGCTTCTTTAAAATGAGAAAGAAGACGTCAAGAGAGAAACCGAACCTTTGTGATGGATGTAAACACTTTCTCCAGCACTGCATTGGGCTGAGCTCTTCGTCCAACACCTGGACTGATGTGGAGACTCCGGGCACAGGCACTGGCAATAAATCTGTGTCAGGGGTGAAAACAGGAGAGATGAAGGGTCACTCAAAGTTGAAACATGCACACTAGGTCTCTGAAAGGAAAACTTACAGGACCTGTTTGGCACAAGTTTTGAATAACATGCCGACTGTTCTTTCACACAATCAAAACAGTGAAAAATTGTGCACAACATCTGAACTGTGAACATACTACAAAGGGATCTTTTATAACGTTAGATGGTAATGAGATTCTCACCATTACTAAGCTCATATCAGTGCACATGGACATTCAGATGGGAGCCAAAATATGCAGCAGCACACCAGCAAAGGCAGAAAAAAGGGACGTCTTGCTGAGGAACATGAATGTAAACAATGTAGGTTTCAAACTTCTAAAAATAATGAGCTTTGCAGATGTTTTAGGAGGAAGGAAATGCATTTATCATGTTCGTGAGACCTCAAGGATACTCTGCGTTTTGGTTAGAAACACTGAATGTAAACACAACTTTTGTCTATTCACAAGAAAACACCACAGGACATCTTTAAGTAACCACTGAAGTGTTAGCATTTCTACCACTACTACATCAACTGTCTGAATCTTCAAGCTCTGGCAGGAGATTGGTTATTTTTATACTTAATTTAACACTGTCTCCCTCTCTTGTCCCCATTCGTCTGTCTCTGGCTGTACCAATGAGTCTGTGTGCGTCACATGTTCCAGCAGGAAAACAAAGCCAGGGAGCGTGGTTAATGTGTTGCATTAGCTCGGCTGGCTAACAGCTAATAATGGATGGAATAAGGAGCTTCACAAAATCCCCAGTGATTCTGGGATGTCTCCTTCATTATGGGAACATTATGACCTTGCGTGACCCCCTCCCTGCCTGTAGCTCTGTTCTGCATTATGGCTTCACTGTCACGTTCGGCTGGGAAAGAAGCTCTGAGCATACCATAAATGTTATCTGAAATTTTTAGGAAAGCTGTGCTGTGACTAACAGCTGCCACTTAGTGTGTACAACGAGTGGCTTGTTAGCTGCTACAGGCAACGTGTGTTTTGTGCTGGTGGATTGCTATGACTTGTACCATGTGGGCTTATTGCCATGAATATTTATTTGTGAAAAAGCCTTTTTGAGGAAGGCACTGCTCTAATATAACACGGATAGAATACAGGTTAAAATTAAGCAGCAACCCATGAGTCAGGTGGAGTCTTACAGACGGGGGTATAGGCCAAATTCTGGTCTTGGGTGATACATACAACAATGGTCTCTGCGCAAAAATAATACACTGATAATACACCTAATATACCTTAAAAAATCAAGGCTCTGCGTTATCAAAAAGCATGAGAGGAGAGTTAATAAGATAAAAAAACTTTCAAAGTCACATGTTGTGGGCAGTTTATGAACAGTGGTTCCCAACTGGTCCAGCCATGGGGTCCAAGGGCCGTATTCGCAAAGCTTCCTCGTACAAATAGTTGCTCCTAGTGATTAAATGCTAAGAAATTTCGTAGACATTTTCTTAAAATTTCCCTTTAAAGTTAAGTCTAGGTCCTTGTAACAGAAAACAGTTATTCACAGAGCATCTTAGATCGTAAAAGAGCTCCTAAGGTGAAAAACTGTTAGAAGCAGGGAGGAGGATGTTTAAGAGGCTGAAGAGTTTCTTAAGCAGAGGAGAAAATGGTGGAAACACAAAGAGGTCGGAGAAATATTCTCCAAACTCTGGATGCCAGTGAGTGAATAAAATGCTACAGATTAGATCGTGCAGGGATAATATGCGTGGTCGATCTTATTAAGGGTACGTACACATTTCCTACCCAACACAATTTAACGCCAGAAATAGAAATGACACTAAGATATTTGAAACACTGGAAAAATGCAACAGTGCAGCAGTGATGACTTTTGTCTGTCTCAACCATCCATCAGCAGAGTGATCACACTAACAGTGACAACACTTTGACAGTCAGCAGCACAAAAGGCATGTCTCTGACAACCAATCACATCTGTAAAAATAATGCCTCATACCTAGCAGCGGGGTCAAACACACCTCCTCACTAAGGTAAAGGTTTCTGTCCCTTCTTTGCTCAGTGTTGCTCTGAGAACTTTCATCACTCCTAAGCTAGGACTCCTTACTAAAAATGTTTAGGCTAAGTTAGGAGCTCTCTGAGAGTTTTCTCAGAATGTTTGTGAATACAGCCCCAGATTTTTTCTCAGTCGTCAGTTCAAGGTCCACAAAATTTAATATATTCAGCATCATACTTGCATTTGGCCATGTTATTAAGCTAGTTTGCTGCTAAGCTAGTAAGCTAGTAGCTTCATCACTTCAAAATAAATGTACTGAAAAAATGAAGTGTGTTTTTTACAAACTTGACACGTTCGAGTCACTTGTGGCTCATTCAGAATGGACCCGCGACCCACTTTTGGACCACAACCCACCAGTTGGGAACCACTGGTTTAAAATTATCTTAATGGATGTTGTGCTGTGGCTTGAGGTCTTTAATTCTATTGATGGCATCTGCTGCTGCTCTCTTATATCTGACCACTCGCCAGCTTTCTGACAAACCACACAACTACCAGCTAAATAAGTAGGCTATGCATTAATATTTTTATCGGTGAGTGACCATCTTATGTCAAGAAAAAATCTGTACTATCTCTTTAAATACTGTTTTATTGTCCAGCAGAATAAAAACAGACTCAATCAATCATTTACAAGATTCAGTGTGGCGGCTGAAAAACGTACACAGAAACTCTAAAGGAAAGAAACAAAAAAAAAAAAAAGAAAAACATTCCTGTGGTCTGTGCGTGTGAAATCTAGATCTGTGAACAAAGATATCGTCTCACTGTGAAGAAAAATGTCTTTGGTGGAGCAGCTTGAGTGAAACTGGCTCCACAGCACAGACACAGTGGGACTATGTTATTAACCACTGTGGCTCTGTAAACAGTTTCCTCTGGTTCAGCTAGGAGGAACAACAAACAATAACATAAAGCTATTTGGAAGCAACTAGCTCAGCCTACAGGGTCATTCTCAAATTTGTTCCTGCAAGGCAGCTTAAGGTTCAGTCTGCTGTTGATTTAGGGCCAGCTCAGGATACATAAATAAACAAAAACATAAGTAAATAAATAAAAACCAGACTTTTCTGTCATTTTCATGACTGCCACAATGTTTTAACAGAGGATCACATCAGGCCAGAAAGTTGCATGATCCTCTGTTCATTTTGTTTTCTATTAGGAGCATTCACTGCAAACATTATAGCCTGTTCATAAAGAAATGACTTGTGAAGCTACAGTAAAGAACCACTAACAGTTTAATACCTATCTAATACATATCTAAACAAGTTTTAAAGAATGCTCCAGTGGTATTCTGTGAATTTCAATTTCCTTAAAGCCCCACAGAATTCAAGAGATGCGGGAAATCTAAGCACTGTAAACTGCAGTCACACCCCTCAGTGTTACCAAACTACGTTCATGCCGTCTAACTCGTGAAGGAACTTTGTGACGAGTCAGTCAGTGGAGAGAAGGAAATGCCCACCTGCAACATGAAATATCACAGGATTTATTTACTCGATCACGTGACCATACAGCTCTCAGAATCTGTCTGAAGCCTAAAATTAAAATACATATAAAATCTAAAGTTTACTACTGATTCATCTATGTAAATGTCAGGTCAGTTTTGCTTTTAATTATTCAACATTCATCCCAAGAGTCTATGACAGTTGCTTTTTTTCAAGCATACTTCTATCACATAATCATGGAAGCCTATTTCCGCAAGTATGATCACAAAAAGAGACCCTCTAAGTCAGAAACTTTCTCAGAGTAATTAGAAACATCCTCAAAATAATGTCCTGTTTATCGAGAAACAATGACTTAGTATCTTTCTAAACTTTCTCAAAATAATTACTTCTTATCGTTTCTCATTATTTTGAGATACTGAGTCAGTATCTTGAGAACTTGTCCTAATTTGAGATGCTAAGTCATTATTTGGAAAGTTCCTCATTATTGTGAGACACCCATTATTTCAAGAGACTGTCTCGTGATAATGACTTGGCACAAAGGGCACCAATTTTTCTAAAAAACATAGTGATAGTTACATTTTAAAGTGCAGCTTTCAACCAACTCTATCCTTGAATACAATGTAGGACTGGACAATATATAGGGCTGGGTATTAGGGCTGCAACTAACGATTATTTTCATTGTCGACTAATCTGTCGATTATTTCTTCGATTAGTCGACTAATCATTTTATCGAAAAATGTGTTAAAATGTTGAGAAATGTCAGTCTGTCTTTCCCAAACCCCCAAATTACGTCATCTACGTTTCATACTCACGCCAAAGGGTTTTAGTTCACTGTCATGGGAGAGTGTTTAAAGCTGCCAATATCTGAACGTACGAAGCTGCAATAAGAGTATTTTGGGGTACTTTTATAGTACTTTTCGATGAAAAATGACTCAAACCGATTAGTCGACTACTAAAATAGTCACCGATTATTTTGATAGTCGATTAGTCATCGATTAGTCGACTAATCGTTGCAGCCCTACTGGGTATCAGTACTTGATACCTTTAAGGTATCAACCAAAATAACTTAGTGCCAAGTCGTATTGAAACGTCTCCCATCAAACGATACCTGCATTTAACCATTTCTGTACCCAGATCTAGAACAAAATAACTATTTGTATAGTTTTGCCTGGAGCCAATCACCGCAAGCATTCTTCAATATAATGCCACGTGTGAATGGTCACAATAGTTAGGCTACTACCTATACAGTCTGTGGTGCAGTGAAGTCAACTGCGGCGTACATGACAGAGCTGGCAGTTCAGCGTATCGAGATGCCACCAAAATATTATAAAGTATGGCTATACTACACATCTGTGAAGTCTGGTGGCATTTTCATGCAACTGAATGCTTCCATATAGATGAAGTACTCTATTAGCATTGGCATTACTTTAAGGGTACTGGTATTCATGCTGCTATTTTTATTTTTTAAATGATACCCAACCCAATCCATACTGTGATACAAGACTAGATATCGTCTCAGATTTTAGATATTGT